GTGTGTGTGTGTGAGGGGAACAGGGTCACATCACAGGAGAGTGAACTGTCTTTCAGAAATCATAGCACGTCAGCTGTCTTAACCGCGGCTTGTGTACTGCATCATTACTGTGTCTGTTCCCCTTTCGGGCTTGAACTGATGGTAAAACTAATGACATTATTTACTGTCTTTACATTTATTTTGAAAGATGAAGCTCGCGATTATGGTAAGGGGCGTTACATTTCCGACGAGTGCTTGCGGTGTTCGGCCGATCACAATGCACTGGGTCAGCTGGCCAATCAGAGCAGACTGCGCTTGTCGGAAGGAGGGACTTTGTAGAAAACGAAGCGTTTGAGAGAGGCGGGGCATAGAGGACCTACAATAATGTACAGTATTTGAAAAATAATGTGTTTTTTTAACATTAAAGCATGTCAACATATTCTGTTACACCAAATACACAAAATAATGATCTTTAAAAAAGCATCATATGACCCCTTTAAAGTATGGATATGAATTTGCAACCTTTATTTTGTGTCTACTACCTCTTGCATTACACACTTTATTTATTGATTTGATTGCCTGATTTGTGTTAAAAAAATCATTTTATACCAGTTAGATTTGTCAGATTTAATTGCTTATCAAAATATTTTATTGAAACAATTTTATTGAAAGAGTTTTGGAGATTTTGATCTCTTCCCATTCATGTAGATAGAAAGTAAACAGCAACCTGGGTTGTTACCAAGATGGTCGCTGAATTGCATTATAGAGACTTAGGTATTATCTCACGTTACATGACATTCATCTTTTCTTCTTATCTTTTTTTAGCAAACCTGGAGATGAATGAAAGTTCTCGTTGGACTGAAGAGGAGATGGAGACAGCAAAGAAAGGTCAGAACCCATGTTGGTTAATTTGTCACTACTGCATTTATTGACTGGACAATATTCCCGCTGTATGGAGCCATTTGTGCAAACACAATTAAGATCCAGTCAGAAGCATTTGAATTCACAGCAGAATGAATAAGGTTGCTTCTAGATTTAGTGAGAAGCATTCAAACATCGCTGACATAGAAAACCAAAAGTATTTATGCCAACTATAACCATGGTGTTGTGGCATTCATTTCAGGGTTTGTACAACCTTTTGAGATAAATTCATGCACTTTTCAATGATTTTCAAGTATTTCACGCAACTATTTCCAGCACTTTAAAGCTCTAAAAATGATCCCTTTTAAATGTTATTTTTAATGGGATGACCAAAACATACTTTGTGGTAAACAACATTTTTAAAATAAAAAAAGACATCAAATTACCACTATAACCAGTAGACGGCAGCAGAGGAGCACTTATTGGCTCATTAGTCATTAATTTCTTCTTTTTTGCTTTATATTTGGATATTATAAAATCACTATAATTCATAGTATAAAATATCAAATCATCAAGAAACCAAATTTTGTCAAAGTTTTGCACTTTTTTTGTGTATGAAATAACAATATGTCACAAAGTGACTTGAAAAAAAAACTTAAATTTGCGACTGAATCACACAAAGCAAGTAAAGAGCGCTCCTTTTATAATCACTGAAGTTTTTGGTCACTTCAGTATAATACTATAGAGTAATGGTAGAAGAATAATGGTACATTTATTAAGATTAGAATATATACATTTTCCTTATAAAAGTTTGATTTTTCACATGTTACTGTTAATAAAAGTAAATTTTGTATGCTTCCCAACTCAAGCTCAGTGCTTTATTGTCAAATGTGCATTACCAAGAAATAAACGTGTAAAAATTATTATTAACTGCATTTATTAATGCAAAGCAATAGTAATTTTATGATTCAATTATCTTTTTATATTTTTATTACGCACAAACACCACCCCCCCAGCGCTACCAAACCTGCTTCTGGCGCCACCATCTGTAGAACTTAGTGGCGCTGGTGCCACTGCTCTCAAATGTTAGTCTGGAGCCCTGTAAAGGGCTTTCTGTTTGACTTGATAGGATGTTGACAGTTAGGATTTCCTTTTGTTAGAATAACTAGATGTAACTGCCTGATAAGACCTCTAACACTCAGCCTAGCAACTCCACAAACATTTATATGAGCACTAGATCACACACTGACCTTGGCCTCATTTCACACACATGCACTCAGTGATACACATAATAATGTGTCTAAATGTGGGCGCCGCATCTTTATATGACAGCTGGACCTTCAGATGAGCTGCTTTCAGAAATGTGTTCTTTACTCATGGTTTAATAACAAGAGCTTCATTAATGGACCTTGAAAACTTCATGTGGGATTATATTTGAGAAAAACGGACAAAGTTTGAGTAAAGAGCAAAGGTCTAATCTTCTTTCTTGTACGTGTCAGAGTTTGATCTGTAATGTAGACTGTTAGTGTGTTAAACGTACGCTCTGTTGACCTGAGCTGCTTCCACGTCGCTCTGTTAACAGCTCTCTGTTTCTCTGGCACCGGCACATCAGGCACATCATATCAGGCCGCCTGCTCCACACCACTCTGGTTTACAGGATCTGTAACTTAATAACATTTCATTAATGATAAAGTCCCCAGAGCCAAATCAAGTTTGTTGTTCACAATCACAAGAGCTATAAATATAAATATA